AGGGAGGAGAACAGATACACATCACGCTGCCCAGCAGGTCAGCCTTCATCCTCAGCTACTTTATGGCAGGGGGGGGATACTGATAATCTCCTGCCGCAGTGCTTGCTAGCAGCCCTTGCTTCCTGCAGCCTGTGTCCAGTGTTTGTGGTGTTTATGTAGGTCACACATTGGTAAATGCAGAGATAAAGAGCTGCCTTTGGTGCCTGCCTGGGGTGGCCAGGCTGCCCCCTGTGCCTGCAGAAGCTATGGGGCACAGCGGATGGATGTGTGCCGGGCTCTCCTCTGCCTTGGTGTGGGAGAGCACGGGTGCATGCGTGCAGCCCACCGGAGAGGGGTTCATGGTGCTTTCAGGCTGTAAGAGAAGGCCAGCGGCAGGGTTAGACAGGCTCTTTCGCAGCATGCTTCAGCCGGTGCACTAAGCTCAGCCTTCTGCATGTTTTTGGGATCTCTTGGCAGAGCTTAGGGGGGGATCCGGCTTGCTCGTGTCTGCAGAACCCTCTTCCCCAGTCACTCAGCACCCTCACCCCTTTGCAGTGTGCTGCTTGTGTTTGCCTGTGGTGCAGTGGCCCCAGTTCACCCTTTGCATGCTCCTCTTGTGCTGAGCCCGCACCTCCAGCAGCAGGGCTGAGGTGCAAGACCCTCCATCAACACAGGTACAGAGGTGGTTTTACCCTGACAGAGCTGCAGGCTCGGGCGCTTGCTTCTGCCTCCCCTTGGTGTATCTCAGGGCTTTCAATGGTACGTCACCGGGGTGCTTTGCTGGGAGTAACCTTTGTTCTGTCATCAGCTCTGTGGCTGTGTCCCGGGGACAAGGAGGAGCGGGATGGGAGAGCAGGGGAGGGCAGCCCTTGGGGTGATGAAGGTTGGTGGGCTCTCTGCAAGTGAGCAGGGCAGATGTGCATCCAGGACACTGCTTGGCTGGGATGTGCTGCAGCACCTTGTCCCCCAGTGCTTCCAGTGCTCCTGTGACCCTCTGCCTGCATGTCACCTGGGGAGGCAAACAGACCCCTCCTGCAGCATCCCACAAGTGTTGCCCCAGCTCATCCCACTTCCAGCAAGGGCAGGCTCAGCCCCTGGTGTTTCTGGTGCTGGAAGAGAGGCTCCCCTGCACCAGCAACGGTGTGGGGCACCCCGAGTCCTGGGGCTGTATGGGGATAGGGACACCACCTTCCATGTTTCGGGTGCTGTTTGGAGGGTGAAGGAGCAGAGTGTGGCTGTGCTCATGGCTTGAAATGAGGATACTGCATCTTTCAGGATTCCCCTTGTACTTCTGACCGTCTTCACTGTATACTCTCCAGTGACTTGTATTTTCAAGCTTGGTGTTGTAAGATGCATTATCATGACTCTACCGTTTTTTAAACTCAAAAGCAAACTATTTTGAGCGCTCCTACATTGAACAGACTGATTTCTCTTTCCTGCTGTCCTGTGCAGTGTCATTGCTTGTTGACTTGCTGGTTTCCTTTCTTTCTGAGATACAAACTGAAGTCTGAGGGTGGGTTTGGGTTTTTGGGGGTTTGTTTTGGGTTTTGGTTTTTTTTTGACTATTTAAGAGATTGCAGAAAAAAATGTTTACCTGATCTGTGTATTCTGGAGTTTTTATCTTGACCCTTTTCTCCTATGTTGGCTGATACTAGCTTTTACATTTGCAACTACAGGCCCCTTCAAATGCAGTTTTCAACCATTCTGAAACCAGCAGGGTACACTAGATTTCTAAGTAGTTTTCTTAGGTGAAAGCCCAGATGTTTTTCCTTTTTGTTCTTCTTTTTCTCTTCAGTATAATTTACCAGGAAGAATTAACTGATGCATTTTTGTGTTGTCTTCCCCTTCAGTAGTTATATTTTGTCTTTTCTGCACATCTGTCTACTAATAAAAATGTGAAATGAAAACGTCCCCGGCCTGGTCCTTCACTGTTAATCGAGCTGGTTGGGTTGCGTGGGTTACATAAACGGCTTAGATAACATCTGTTCACAGGTTCAGTATCAATGCCATACACATAATTAGCTGGAAGGTGATGGGCAGATAAAGCTGCTGTTTGACAGATGCTTGCCTAAGCCCTAGACTACAAGGATGAACTGATTTAGAGAAAGGCTTTCACAACAGGCCTTAGGCTTTGCTGTTGAGAAACCTAAAACCAGCACGAGCATGGTTCAGTGCCTCATGTGCCTGCAGCAAGGGTGCAGGATGTGGGGCAGAGCTGCTGCTGGCATGGGGATGAGGTGCTGCGGGGCAGGGGCTGGGGCCCCATCCAGCAGCTTTGCAGAGGAATCAAGGTTATCACCCCAGCACCCCAGGGAACTCAGTGGGTTCCTGTGAGCTCCATAGGGAAGAGGTTTGTTTCACAGTGCCAGGCTGCTGCATGAGGGTAAAATTAGCAGGGCACATGGGCGAGAGCTGTGCTTGGCATCGTGTGCAGCACAGCAACTGCTGAGTCAAATGTGGCTGTGCCCGAGAGCTTTGGGTTCACAGCCACGCTGGGGGAAGGAACTGTGATGGAGCCTCTGTGTTGGGCAGTGGGACTGAGAGGGATTGGGACCAGCTTGTACCTCGTGCCTGGCTGCTCCATTCAGCAGACGTGAGGCAGGACACACTCTCCAGCCCAACCTGCACTCCCCACCTGCCCTTTTCTTTGGTGGCCAAGGGGCCTAGGGAAGTGCTGCAGAACTGCCCATCAGATCCAATAGGAAATGGGAATCCAACAGGAAAACTTTCTGTTTAGTCCGGCTTGGAGGGAGGGGAGCCTGCCTGCTGCTGACTGCAGGGTGGGTGGGAAGGTGCCTTTGCTGCCCTGTGCTGAGGAAGAGGGAGCTGGAGGCCATCACAGCCCATGGCCACCAGGAGGGGGAGTGTTGCCCTTTCTGTGCCTACAGCCATGGCCAAGGATGGAGGCTGCAGCTGGGGAGGGCAGCAGAGAACTGGCTGCAGTCAGCCCCTGCCAGCAGCTGCTCTGCAACAAGTCCAAGGCTCAGAGGGCTGCTGTGCACCAACACCAACACTGAGCATTGCCTTCTGCCACTGCATGGGGCCCGGCCCACAAGCAGGGACTGACCTACACCCATGAACAACCCAAGTGCGTGCTGCGGGCTATGGAGAATGTTTTCCAGAGCATCTCCTATGAGGCAGCAGCTGTCACAGGTAAAGGAGGTGCTGTTGCTGTCAGCCTTTGTAGGACCCAGCCTGCAGAAACTGTTGTGTCCTCCTTGACATTCAGGCCCCGAAGCTGGTGGCACTGGGACAGCCACTGTCAAGGGGTCACAGCAGCTGCTCAAGTTCAACCAGTATAAAAACTTGAACTGGGGCAGAGAACGCCAGTGCTGCTCATGGTGTGCTGCTCACAGATAAGGAGAGGGCCAAGTGACACACTGACTCAGGCTCCTACAGGACCTCAGAGATGGTGTGAGTGTTAAGAACAAAAAGTGGTTTTCATGGTAGAAACAGCTTCATCATTGTGTCTTCTTCTGGGTCCTGAAATAGAACTGGGAAGTGCAAAAAAGCCCCTTCCCTGCTGCATGGACATGTACAGCTTCACCTCTACACCATACCTCTACTGCCTGGGCCAGGGTGCTCAGGGTGAGCTGGGGCAGGGGCTGGTGGAGGCCATGGACCTCACAGCAGCGCTGCAGCCACACTCCTGCCTTACCCATGCCAACTGCTCCGCAGGGATTTGTACCGAGCACAGGGCCAGAGGACACCATATGCAGGATGGACATGCATGGCACAAGCCAGGGTGCTGCCCAGGGCCCCGTCTGACTGAGCACTGAGGTACACTCACCTTGGCCGTGGTATTCAGCTTCCCCTGCAGCCCCATGTGCTACTCCCACCCTCCCAGTTCAGGTTTTGTTGGGAGGAGCAGGGGGTAAAGGGACAGGCTGTGAAAGCAAAGCTGCTCCCAGAACCCTTGAAAATGCAGACAAACACTAGTGATATGCTCAGATCTTTATTAGGTGGAAGAAGGGGTAGAAAGAAATGAAACATTCACCGCACCGGTGTAGGACAAGAAGGACCAGGAGTTGCCTCTGTAAGGGTCTCTGTTTTATAAAAGTGGGAGGGATAGGTGAGGTTTCCATCCAGCAGCTCTGGCTTTCCTGGGCAGGGTGGCTCAGGGCAAAAAGAGGTACAAGACAGAGCTTATACTTGAAGAAACCGCTACCCAGTCTTTGCCTCTAATGGTGCACAGGAGGTTCCAGGACACACTGAGCCATCCACACTCTCTTGATAGAGAAACAGAAAAAAAAAAAAAAACAAAAAAAAAAACCCAAAAAAAACCCAAAACCCTAAAACAAACCAAAAAGGGAAAAAACTTTTATTTTTATTGTTAAAAAAAAAAGATAAAAAATGTGAGGCTGCAGCTCAGGGCCACAGTGACCCAGCTGCCCACAGGGCTTCACCTTCCTCAGCAGGAGGGAGGCAGGAGACAAAAGAAAGGGGAAGACCCATAAAACATGGTTTTTCTGTTATTTTTCCCCACACCTCTCACCCCGTTTAAATGACAGCTATATTGGGGGCTGAGGGGAGAAATCAAAGTAAAAGGACACATTTTGATTCGTTTGGGTGGCAAGGAGCAGGCCTCCTTATTTGCCTAATTTAGAATATCATTAAATAAATGGGCTCCAGCTCAAAAAAAAAAAAAAAACCCAAAAAAACCCCAACCCAAACCAAAAAAAAGGTACAGTTTGTCTTTGACAGAGTCATAAAGTCCATAGAGCTTAAAGAAAGAACAGGAAAGGATGCCCTGGTACAGATGGGAAATGTATAATTAATTTTCCTACAAAGAAAGAAACATGGTTGCAAGATGCAGAAAACCCACATTTAGGCTCTATTACATTTACAAATACATACATAAATATATTACATACAACAGCAACTCAAAGAGGAAGCAGGCGAGTCACACAGAGGATGGATGGATGGGTGGATGGATGGCTGCAGTTCTCCCCACACAGATGTTTGGCTGAGCAGTTACTTCTCCTAATAATTCCAGGAATGGGCTTCAGCTTTTTTTCTCCTTTCTTTCATTTTTCCTTGTTTCTTTTTCTCCTCCTCTCCTTCCACTCTCTCCCTCCTCCCCGGTGTCGGATTTAGTTTGTCCAGTAAGGAGAAGTGCCATAGGCGGTTTTGGTAGCCTGAGACTTTTGCTGCATGGTGCTGGGTTGGTTGCGTTGGCCAGATCCACCCTAGAAACAGGAAATGAAGGAGATAAGAGGCATCAGCCACCATAGGAAGAAGAGCCCATGTGAACATTACCAGAGGAGCTGCCACGCCAGGGGACAGCCCTCGTGCCCACCAGTGCAGCAGTGCTCCCCCGGAACTGACCAGTTGCTGCCCTGCATCTCTGTGTCTCACAATCCAGGATGAGCAGCCACAGAGACACTGAAGCAGGAACACATGGATGCGGTGTTCCACTGCCTTCCATCCAAGCCAGGTTTAAGCACAGGGAAGGAGACGAGCAGGAGTGGGGACAGCAAAGGCGCTCCCTCTCTCAAAGTGAACAGAGGCGGTGCACCAGCCAAGGACATCACACACACACAGCAAGAAGTAATTTCCTATTTCTGGACTCTAAGGCAGGACACTCTGTTTTTTCAGGGAATGTTAATAGTGAGGAAAGGAAATGCATGAGCTGGTGAAACCAAATCAGAGCTGATAAGCAACCTGCCAGGGGATGCTGGGCTTTATCCCTCAGGGCTATCGTACAAGCGCTCAGATCTGCTCTCCTGATGCAGCACTTGCCTCAGCCTCACACCTCACAGCCCATCTCTCCACACCCCGCATTAGGATGGCCTCTTCACATACTGTTGGGCCAGCTGAGGCTGGCAGGGACCTCTTGAGGTGTCTTGCCCAACCCCTGAGACTCCTGTTCTCCATCCTCAGCAGTCCCAGCTCTCCCAGCCTCTCCTCACAGGAGAGACGCTGCAGTCAGTTGTTTCACCATCTTTGTGGATCTGTGCTGGACTTTCCCCAGTGTGTCCATGTCTGTCATGCTGAGGACCCCAGAATGAGACACAACACTCCAGCTGTAGCCTCAACAGTGCTGAGCAGAGGGGAAGGATCAGCTCCCTCAACCTGCTGACAATGCTTTCCCTAACGCAGCCCAGGATCCCATTGTCCTTCTTTAGGGCAAGGGCATGAAGTTCCCCTTGCTCAGCTTCATGAGGTTCCCTCTCCAACCTGGTCAACAGCATCAAGTCTGTCAATATGCAATCACAGTCAATCCCTTTTCCCAATGAGCAAAGCAAAGATTCAGAGGGAAGCCAACCCCCAGCTAAGCCCTGCTGGGATGTGGGGGGAGCAGTCTGTCCTCAGGCATGCTGTAGAAGCACGAAGGGGCGAACTCACCTGCGCATCTTGCTGAAGATGGTGATGCAGCAACTGGGAATGAGGCTGCTGATGTGCAGGGAGGATATGGAGAAACGGGGCTGGAGCATAACCTGGGGCAGCACCAGGGTTCAGGGGCCCAGTCGATCCAAGAGCAGAGGGCAGGCTGAAAGGAGGCGGTGTGCCAGCATGGAATCCCTGCTTGTCAAATGTCTGCATGGGAGACGATGGGGACAGTGTCAGAGACTGGTATGAGCAGCCCCACAGTGTCCAGGTAAGAACAAGAACAGCCCAAACACATCACCTTAACCTCTCACTGACCCCATGAGCAAGCCAAGTTACATTGAATACTTGCAAGCACTTAAGGCAGAGTAGTTCAGGAGTTTCAGCTCCTGTTCTCAACCACCCTTCTGCACTAATGCCTCCAGTATTTTATTTCTATTTCCACAGCTCCTGTGCTCCTTTTTTCAACGACCTCCTTTCACTCAGTGGGACAGGGGATGGCAGCAGCTGCCTGAAATCAGTCCTCCACACACCGAAGGGGCTTAGCCTTGACCTACCACAGCAGCCCAACAAAGATGTAAGAACACTTGCAGTAAGAGTTTCCTTCCCTGGCCCCTGGTAAGCATGTAGCTGAGAGATGGCTTCTTATTTGTAAGCATGGTTCACATCCAGAGGCTAATTACCCTGGCTGAGGGTGCAGGCAGGAGAAAACAGGAGCTGGACATAAGCCCACCACACTTTGTCAAAGCCCTTCCTGCCTTCCCTTGGAAGCTGCATGCTGTGTATGGCCGCAGGACGGCATGGCACAGCACAGGGGCCCTCGGGTGTTTGAGGTAGTGCTGTGCATGGCAGGGGAGTTAGAACTACATGATCTTAAGGTCCTTTCCGACCCAAACCATTCTGTGATTCTATGACTTATGTGCCAGCAGCCGCCGTCAGGAGCTGACAGGGCAGAAACAGTGGGACAGAGGGTGAGACTCCACTCCAACAGCAAACAGAACAAGAAACACCATGGCCTGCTGACCCTGAGGTCCTGTGAACAGGAGGGGACCATGAGCCTGGGCTCAGGCCATGCGGGAGGAGAGCACAGCGCTGCTTACCTGAGTCTTGTTATAGACTGAGCCACTGATATCAGGCACACCTGTGTTACTTGAGGTCACTGAAACACCTGGAAAACAAAAAACAAGCCACCAACAATGAGAAAGTCAAACACTCCCAGCACAAGCCAATGCTTTGCTGCTGGCACCTCCGGCGGTCACAGTGGGTGCACCTTTACCCACGCACCATGTTGCTGCTGCTGCTGCCCAGCCCTGGGGGACCCCTCTGCTCTCTGACCTCATATGGGAACAGAAAAGGCCTGGCTCCTCACTCCTGCTGAACAGTGGGAACCCAACCCACTGGGATAAATCAGAGCCAGCAGTCACTGCTTGGGTTCAAAGCACTTCACCAGGCAGCAGCTGGCTGCAACGAACACTCATATAAACTCACAAAAAGCCAACTTTCCCCTAGAATGAGGGATGCATTTGGCTCTACTGCAGCATTCAAGAGCTTTCCAGTAGTATGCTGAGCAATGAGACTCAGCATCTGCCACACATTTGAGTGCTTTGTCCTTTCACACCCTGCAGAAGGGTGAGGTCTGCAATACTCTTCTGTTTCAGGCTGGCTTCCACCAGGACCAGCTGCTGCCACAACAGGCTCAGAAACACTCACTTACCAGCAAGGTGGCTCTCAAACCAGGCATGTATTCACAGTCTTATAAAGACTGTTGCCAATCATTCCACTTGGATCAGAATAAAACCAGTGGTTCCTTTGGCCAATGAATCTTTTGGCCAAGGACTGGACTTGGAGGGTCTGCACTGCTCTAAGGTTGCCCCCTTCTCAAGAAAAGGGGGCTCCTTTTTGGATTGCTCCTCCACAGAGGAGAGCGTGATCATTGGCTGAAGACAGTCCAGTTGGTGTTTCAAATGCACAGCAAATGCTTGATATTTGCTTAAGCCCAGAGATGAACTAGTTAGTGCTAAGCAGTTCAGTAAACATTTCTCACGTCTAACCAGCGTGTGCAGAATAAAGCTTTCATGTAAGCTGTATACATTCTTCAGCCTTTACAGTCAGAAAGGAAACATTTCCAGGCATGAAACAATGCAATGAGTTAACGGGGTGTATGAACAGCAGCTGAAACAACAGGCCAGATGTGTGAACTGCCCTGCTTGCCCCTAACACACAGATGTCTTAGGTGCCTACCAAGAAACTCAAAATCTAGTCTTCATTTGGCAGAGGACCATTTCAGCAGCAGCATCCAGCTGCTCAGGCTTCCAAAGCACAGCACTGCTGCAGGACCACTATTCTTCAGCAAAGTAAACTCTGGCAGTGGAAACAGCTCACCATGTCTCCCGTGTATAACTGAGGACAAAGCTGCACATCAGCCACACAGATCCTAACACAAAATTCAGCCACGAGGTTTAAAAGGAACAACTGGGCCATTAAAAAAGCATTTTGTGTACGGGAGATGGAGAAACAGCTCGGATCATGACCCTGTTTAGAGCTGGCTGCTGTGTTGACTGCACAGCACTGGGAATCGGCCCTGCTTCGTCACACTGAAGATCAATCTCAAGTCTCATGTGTTACCTTTCCCAGGTCCAGTGCCAGCAGATTTGTTTTGTGCTTGAGATGACCCACTGTAGCCTCCTTTGCTGTAATCTCCAGCTGCCGTTCCCTGCGTTAAGTCATCATAGCCTGCCGGTGTGTACAAGACAAGGTGTTAGAGTGTGCAAGCAGCTGGGCAGGCACCCACGTGAGAGGTGCAGTGGTGAGCATACCTGCCCCATAGCCATGCTGCCCATAGCCACTTGCTTGCTGGAAAGGAGTCGATGCAGTGTTCAGGTTGACTCCATGCTGTTTTGCAGATGCTGGAGGTACCTGGACAAAGGAAGGGAACAAAAGGCCCTGTCACCTGAGGAGCAGCACACAAAACACAAGCTGCCTCTGCCATCTAGTGGGGAAGGTGCCTCCACCTCATGTGGAAAATTTAATATGGAGCTGGGAGCACTGGGATGGCACGGGACATGACGCTTATGCTTCCAGAAGTAGCTATCTATAGTGGATTAGTGCAAGCTAGAGTCACCCCTCTGACTGCAGTGTAACCATGTCTCACACCAAGCTGCTTATTTCTTTCATACTCTTAATGTAAACAGCAAATTCTTACCCACAAACACATGAAGCAGCAACCACAGTGCTCTCCCCCCAGAACAGAACAAAATAAAACATCAATTCCTGCCTGAAGCTGCTTCATAAAGGGCCCAAAACCAGAATCATCTAGTCTTCCTTCCTGGAATATCACCTTTTCCCAAATAACCTTCTTCCACTGAAACTACCAGTATGGTGCTCTGACTTAATGGGGTCCCCTCTAACCTTGAAAGGATTTCCTAGGCACTCCAAGCTAACTGGAGCTTTGGGTCTCCCTTGGACTCTCCAGAGACCGGTAAAGGCTTTCAGGATCACCGAGTCAATGAGCTGTAACTTCTGCTATTCGCAGTAACCTGTGCAAGAGTCCATGAGTTCTGCATTTTAAATTTCCTGTTCTGTGGAAGGGACAGAAACTGTTTTCTCAAGCTTGCATGTTTTTGGAGATCCCTTGCAGGCTGGGAAAGATAATGCCACATACCAGTTTCATGAGACTCCACCTCAGTACTGGATGCACTTCTAGGGTCCCCAGTACAAGAGAGAGAGATGGAACTATTAAAGCAGGTCTAGAGAAGGGCCACAACAATGCTCAGAGGGCTAGTGAACCTCTGCTATGAAGACAGGCTGAGAGAGCTAGGGTTGTTCAGCCTGGAGAAGAGAAGACTCTGGGGATAACTTATTGAGATCCTTCAATACTTAAAGGGGGCTTATAGGAAAGATGGAGAAAAATTTTCTACCAGGTCCTGTACTGACAAGACAAAGGGCAATGGTTTTAAACTGAAAAAAAAGTAGGTTTTAAATTGGACATAAGGAAGGTATTTTTTATGACAAGAGTGCTGAGGTGCTGGCACAGGGTGCCCAGTGAAGCTGTGGCTGCCCCATCCCTGGCATTGTTCAAGGCCAGATGATGCAGGGCTTTGAGTAACATGACCTAGTGAAAATATCCCTGCTCATTTGCTGGGCAGTTGGACCAAATGATCTTCAAAGGTCCCTTCCCACACAAACCATGATTCCAAGATGTAGACAGTTTGGGCTGGAGAGAGCAAAACCAGAGAGGCACAAAACGAGGGTTACAGCTTAGGCTATCACACTTACAAACATAGTTGGCCCATACTGGAATGCACTGGGTACACCGGGCACACCAGCATAGTAAGGTAACCCAGTGTAGCTGTACCCTGGGGGCAGGGTCGGGTTGAGGAAGGGCTGCTGAGTCGTGTGGTGAGTCTGTGTCTGGTTCTGCTGCGGCTGGGCAAGCGTGGTCGCCGGAGCAGGGGAGGCAGAATCCCCACGGCCAAATTTCGTTACGTCACCTGCAAAAGAAGGAACTGATCAGAAAAGCTATCCAAGCTACTCCGAAAGTGGAGGACTCACAGGGCTGACATCCTCTGAATACAAGCAGACCACTACAGAATAGAGCACATCCTACACTTGAAACCCAGCAGTTGTTCAGGGGAAGCACTCTCCTGGTCTCTCTTTCTGACGGCCACAAGGACATTGCCCGTTTGTGGCACTGAGCTCTGTGCTGTGGCTAATCCACTGATAAAGTGGAGATAACCAGTACTTACCTATCTCACATGGTCTGAGCAGATTCACTACTATCAGATCATTGCAATAAAACATGCTAAAAGCAGGAAGTATGGTAAATAGCCAAAAGGCAAATGGTTGTTGGGTTAAAGTGTGACTTTCCTGGAGGTTAAATCGATTAGCTTGGCTTCATGGGCTGAAAGCAAGTTAGAATTTACAGGCAGTGATGGGTATATTTTTGTCAATGTCTGTTTATTTGTCAAGCATGACTAGTTAAGATGTCTGGTTCCTCACACCACCAAAGTTCTGGAGACAGTAGCTGAAGGCCAGGAAAGCAAGGCTTGCATCGTGGGCCACCTTATTGAAGAAGTAGGAAGGGAAATTTGGTTAAAAACCCAAAAGCAGACTCCTTGAGAGAAGTGATTACGAAGCAGAAAACTCTTGAACACCTGCATTTTCTGGCAGCCTACAGAACAGCATGCTCACATCTCTTTTAGGGAGGTTTTTAGGGAGGTTACATACATCAATCACATTATCGCATTCTTAGCCAGTCCTTTTTGTTGGTTACCGACAAGTATGACAACACTGTCAAAACAGGAATTGTACTATGTATAACTATGCTTATAAGTTGCAATCTGGTTGCAGTAGATGAAAACCATGGGAAGAAAATCCTGGATGGCATTAATGTCATCTCTGCACACCAGTAACTAAGGAGCAAGAGAAGGAATGAGTAAGGGCTTCTTAAACCATATGCTTTTGTGAATGAAATCCCTTAGATTTGGAGAGGGAGAGGGACAGCCTGCTACATGGGAACATAACAGTGCTGAAATAGCAGTAGCGAAGTATGGGGTGCTGCTGAGAGGAGTCTATTCCAGTGCCAAAAAGAGGAAAGCAAGCCAGTTGAATATTGAGAAGAATGATTAAGCTATGGAATATCTTTCAAGCACCTGTATGTGCTCAGGAAGGGCACCAGATGACACAGTGTTTACACTCATAACAATTCTGCGCTTGTTCTCAAAGGCTATCCAGCTTATTCCCAGAAGTCACATATGAATTGCTGACCAAACCCATGAAGAAACATCAGTGTCAGGGTTGAGAGGGAGATGCTTGCTTCTGTTTGTCTAGTTTGGACTGATGGGTTTAACTGCTTACAATAGGCAAAAAACAATTGCTCTTTCAGCAATGGCAGGATGACCTGTACCTAGAGACCAGCACATCTCACCATCTTCACCTTTAAACAGCACTCACCTGAGTATGGATTGTTAGCAAGGCTCCCATCTCTGCCTGTCAAGGTTGCTGGAGCAGGGAATGTAATTCCATAGTAATCCTTTGGAAGAGACAACATTGTTTATTAATAGTTGAAACCATATCAAAGATGGACAGCTCTCATGAACCCTGCATTACAAGTGTAAGAAAATTTGTCAAGACAGAGGTCTGAGCAGAAGGTAACCTCATCTCTTACAGCAGAGCTTTAGATTAACCTGCAACCTCAACTTCAAAATAAACCTACTTTGTGATGTTTTTAGTATTGTGTAACAAGTACTTCATCCTTAACAGTAAGCTAAAGACAACAACTACACACGTTTGTCACCCAATCCTCAGCTCTGAGCTGTCATATTCCAGTGAGGAGACTCTTCCAGTGCCTGGAAGAACAACAGACCATCAGGAGCCAAAGATGTGGGGTCAGGCCACGACAATAATCACAGCGTGGATGTAACCTAAAGGTTTGACCCTTGTGCCATGCCCTATTTTCTAGAAGTGGAAATGTCAGCTGGAAAACAGCATAAACATTCAAAAACAAGCCAAAAAAAAAAAAAAAAGAGAGGAGAATAGTAAAAAGTTACTACCAGATGACTGGGAAATTTATTTAAACTATATTTCAGGAGAACTGCCCTGGGTCCAGCAGTAGCAGCATTTTTCTGCTTCTTAGTAGCTGGTGCAGTGCTGTGGCTTTGACTTTCAGCCCGAGAACAACACTGAACACCGATGGGTTTAGCTGTTGCTAAGCTGTGTTTACTGTGACCAAGGACTTTCTGAGTCTCATGCTCTGCCAGGGAAGAGGGGAAGCCAAGAGGAGGCAGAGACAGGACACCTGCCCCAAACTAACCAAAGAGGTATTCCATACCACAGCATGTCATGCCCAGTAAGGAAACCAGGGGCAGTTACCCAGAAGGGCTAGATCACTGCTCAGGACGGGGTGGGTATAGGTCGATGTGCGGTGAGCAGCTGTATTCCCTTGGTATTTCCCTTATCATTATTATCATTGGTGGCAGCAGCAGTGATTTGTGTTATACCTCAGTTACTGGACTGCTCTTGTCTCAACCCATGGGAGTTACATTCTTTTGATTCTCCTCCCCATCCCTCTGGGAGCAGGGGGAGGAAGGGGGGCAGTAAGCCAGTGGCTGCGTGGTTTTGAGTTACTAGCTGGGTTTAAACCACGACAAGAACTCTCCAAAGTGGGATGTGCAAGACAATCCATTGGAGTGCATGAAGAAATTGGGTTTGGTACCATTAGTAATAATAAACAAATAAATAAATAATAAAATAATAAAAAAAATAGTGCCTGTTTAACCTTAAATCCTTTTTTAACTTTTATTTTTGTGTATGCTTTATAACAGTCAGATTAGCACAGTATCATATGTATATAATTCAGAAATAAAAATATATTGGGGATGAGTGCTCAGAAATCTGTAACTGATGGGGTATGCAATCAAAAAAGGTGCAGACCACTGCCTTAGATCATTCTTCTAGGTCTTCTACAGGAAACTAAGACAGGCCTCACCCTAGAAAGTCTGCACTCCAAGATCACAGTACATGTCAGCAAAAATGAAGTGGCATTTTGTCTCAATTTGGGAGAAAAAGGGAAAAGTTAGCCCTTCACTACAGGGCTAGTATGCTACTATGCATTTTTCCTTCTAATTCTTACGGGTTACTCCTCATCACCTGTGATCCATTGAGATATAACCATTTCCACACATCTCCAACACTGAAAATCACAGAATGGTTTGGGTTGAAAAGGATCTTAAAGCTCATCCACTTCCAGCCCCTGCCACATGCAGGGAATACTTTCCTAGACCAGGCTGCTCCAACCCACATCCAACCTGGGCTTGAACACTGCCAGGGATGGGGCAGCCACAGCTTCCTTGGGCAACCTGTGCCAGGATCCCACCACTTTCATAGTGAAGAATTTCTTCCTCATGTCTAATCTCAGTCTTTCCTCTGTCAGGTTAAAGCCATTCCCCCTTGCCCCATCACTACCTGCCTTTGTAAAAAGCCAACCTCCAGGTTTCTTGTAGCACCTTTAGGCACTGGAAGCTGCTCTAAGGTCTCCCTGGAGCCTTCTCTTTTCAAGGCTGAACCAGCCCAGCTCTCTCATCCTGTCTCCAGCGCAGAGGTGATCCAGCCCTCATCTGGACTTGCTCAAGCAGGTTTATGTCCCTCTTGTGATGGGGGCCCAAGAACTGCACCTAGTATTCCAAGTAAGGTCTCACAAGAGCACACTAAAGGGGTAGAATCACATCCTTCGACCTGCTGGTCACTCTCTTTTTGATGCAGCCCAGCATGCTGTTGGTTTCTGGGTTGCAAGTGCACACTGCCCAGTCATGTGGAGCTTCTTGTCATCCAACACTCCCAAGTCCTTCTCCTCAGGCTGCTCTTCATCCATTCTTCACCCACCTTGTATTTGTGCTTGGGATTGCCCCAACCCAAGGAAAAATATTCTCTTCCTTCATACCTGCCTCTGCAAATTCCCTGGCACCTCAAATGCTCTCTCACAGCACCTTCCACCTTTCTGTATTTCTGTACATCACCTCCATTTCCTACACCCTATCCTCCATCACTGAACACGAAATATTCCAACAAAGATTAAGTATTGAAGGTGCTTGCTGTAACTTGAAACAGTGTCATATTTCATCATCCTTTCATTGCCAGGTAATTCCACCTAATCAACTCTGGCAAGAACCATTTAATAAAGTACAACCAAATTAACATCAGAAGTCTTAGAGCACCACTCATTCCAAAGAAAAAGCCAACAAAAACAGAATGCAAGAATACAGCTGAGCAGGATTCAGTGGAGAAGGACTCTTCATCAGGGACTCTAGCTATAGACAAGGGGTTTAAGCTTGAACAGGCAAAGTTCAAGTTAGATATAAGGGAGAAGTTATTTACTGTGAGGGTGGTGAGGTACGAGCACAGGTTGCAGAGAGAAGTGGTAAATGTTCCATCCTTGGCAGTGTTCAAGACCAGGCTGCACAGAGCCTTGGGGCAACATAGTCTAGTGTGAGGCATCCCTAGCTGTGGCCGCGGGTTGGAACTAGATGATCTTGAGGAACTTTCCAACCCAAACCATTCTATGATTCTATGATATGAACTGGAAATGACACACTGGCATTCTTCCCCTATATAAACTGGACAAAATATAACCAAACCCTCATGAGAACAGGGTCTAAGGATTGCAACTATTTCCACTGTCCCTCAGGTCGGGGAAAACCACCTGACAAATACCCCCACCTGCTCCTGCAACATCTGATGTTGTCTAATTTCTACAGCAAACTCAAAATATAATAATCCCCCCCCCCAAACTAGAAATCACAACCACTGCATGAATAACTGAAAAATAGCATTTACACATTTGTTTGTAAATATCAACACGCTGAAGAGAAATAGACTGGGAAATGTAAAAACTGAAACTGACAGATGATCCCAGAAATATTCTGTGAGATATCTGCAGAGAGGATAAACTCTTCCACACAAGGCTGTAAATGTGATAGTGAAAAGAAAAGGAAAAAGAAAAAAAAATACATAAAGTAGACTGACACATTAAAAATATTTCCAATAAAAAAGGAAAACATGTATTAACTCATACGTACAAATAGAAAAAGAACATGAAATAAATCGAAAAGGATAGGCAGAGAGACCTGAAAATAAAAACAAAGAAAGGTAACGAACAAAACAGACAAAAAGGAAATCCTGAAAGGCATCCCAAAATCCACATCTTCACATCCCCTGCTGAGCCATAACAGCACAGTGTCTTGGGACCCCTCTGCACCCCAAAAGCATTCATGGGAAAGAAGCAGCTCCCCCTTCCCTTCCTTAGAGCAGGGCAACCCCCTGCTCAGACTTTGACAAGCACAGAAAAAAAAAAGGCCTAAGGAAAAACTAAACAGAAAGCAAAACCGAAAATGGAACTAGGGAAATCCTGTCTAGAGGATGCTGATGATGAATGGAAAGTGGTACCATATATAAAGCTGCCACCCAGCAGAACCCCCAGCACAGTGCCCACTTGCACCACCGCCGAGTCGACACACAGCACGCTCCTGCCCAGCGCCCCGCAGGCAGCACCCACAGCCCCACCATGCCTGCGCCCGCAACCCCACAGCCCCGCCTGGGGCGCGGCGCCCCGGCGCTCCTGTTCCTCCTGACGGCTCTCGCCACCGGCCTCGCCTGCCACCACCGGCCTGCCAGCGATGACACCTTCCCCTGGCGCAGCCTCCAGCTCCTCCAGGCCATGGCTCCCAGCCCCACACCGCCCTGCCACCACCAGCAGGCGCCCCTCTTCCCCGACACCCTCCTGCACATCAGCCACCCGCAGCAAGCCGCCGCCACCGCCCTCCGCATCCTCCAGCACCTCTTCCACACCCTCAGCAGCCCCAGCATCCCCCAGCACTGGCACAACGAGCCACGGCACCAGCTCCTCAACAGCCTCAATCATTACATCGACCACCTGGAGCACTGCCGGTCAGGCAACGTCAGACGCTCTCGAAGCCGAGGACCCCAGAACTTGCTGCTCAAGATCAACAAATACATCCATGGCATCAAAGGCTACCTCCAAGCCCACAACTACAGCGCCTGCGCCTGGGACCACGTTCGCCTTGAGGCTCACTCCTTGTTCCAACACTTGGACAAACTCTTCCGGCGAATGAAGAGCTGATTTGCTCCTACCCTCTGCCAACCCCGGCACCAAATGCCTGTCCTCAGCCAACATCGGTGGCCACAGATGGAATGGGGGCAGATGCAGCCTGGGCTGGGATTGATCTGGGTTGCCAGAGCTCCTCCAGGCAGGCTCCTGCACTGAGAAGGAATGGGCATGACTACATTGAGGCTAAAGCTGGGCTGTGGGACAGCCGCACTGCTCATACTGCTGGGAAGGCAGGAGGGGATTGCTGTGCTGCACGCCTATGGACAACCTACAGATGAGGGGATGGGAGAGGGGTGATATTTATTACCTATGGAGATATCCAGCCTATCCAGGCTGTGACCTCCCCTGATGGAGGGGGAGGTCCCCATGGACAATGGGAGACTCTTGCAAAAATGAAAGAACTGTTATTTATATATTTATTTAGCTGGCCGCGGGTTATTTACTTATTTATTTATTTATTTATTCTTGCAAAAATGAAAGAACTGTTATTTATATATTTATTTAGCTGGCCGCGGGTTATTTATTTATTTATTTATTTATTTATTTATTTAATTGCTTATTTATTTATGTCCTTCTTGCAAATAAAGACTTCTTGTAAAAACAAAAAAGAAGGAAAAAGAGGTGGCCATCATGCATGTACCTGATAGGCAAAGACAGGGAATCTCCAGGCAGGCAGGGATGAATCTCCCTCCTGCAGCCCAGCCCACCAATACTTCCTGCCCTGACCAAAGGCTCCAAACAGCAACCTACTCTCAGTGACCCACCATGGTCCTTCAAGCCCATAGGCATCTCCTGCTGATGCCAGACTGGGAGCACATGCTTGCCCAGACGACATGATGCCTGCCCTGTGTGTACCTCCTCTCCCATCACCCACCCTCTTCCTTCCCAACCCTTTGCCCCTACTAGGACATGATAGTCCCTTCCCAGCAATGACCCTATCACAAACCACCCCACAGCAATGCCTAAGTACTGCTAGGTGCACCAAGCAGAGTAGCACGGGCAAGATGCACCTGAAAAAGGCATGGAGGGGACCCACCAAAGCCTGTGACATTTGGACAAGGAACAGCATACCAGCACTACAACCCCCCCACAAAAGCACAAATACAAGCTGGGGAGAGAACAGATTGAGAGCAGCCCTGAGAAGAAGGACATGGGGGTGCTGGTTGATGAGAAGCACAATAATGACCAACACGCTCAACAGGGGGAGTGTGTGCTTACAGCCCAGTAACTAATCCTATATGCTGGGCTGCATCAAAAGGAACATAACCAGCAGGTCAAGGGAGAGGATCTTGCCCCTTTGCTCTGCTCTCGTGTCAACCCCCTGCTGTCTTACATCCAGGTCTGGAGCAAAGACACAAGAGGGAAATGGAGCTGCTTGAGCGAGTCCAGAGGAGGCCACAGGCATTCCCTGACAGCTGGAGCAGCTCTGCTGTGGAGCTAGGCTGAGAGAGCTGGGCTTGTTCAGCCTGGAGAGGAGAAGGCTCCAAGGAGACCTTGGAGCAGCTTCCAGTGCCTAAGGTGCTACAAGAAACCTGGAGATGGGGTTTTTACTAAGGACTGTAGGGATGAAGGCAAATGGATTTAAACTGACAGAGCGGAGACTCAGATTAGACATGAGGACGAAATGCTTCACTGTAAGAGTGCTGGGACCCTGGCACAGGTTACCCAAGGAAGCTGTGGCTGTCCCATCCCTGCCAGTGTTCAAGGCCAGGTAAGAAGGGCTTGGAGGAAACTGGTCTAGTGGAAAATGTCCCATGGCAGGGATTGGAACTGATGAGCTTTAAGGTCCCTTTCAAAACTACACATTCTGTGATTCTATGGATACCAGAAAAGAGATCAGGGAGGTTGTGAGATGGCCATTCTTGGAGATATATGCAAAAGCATCACTGGAAAAGGCAATGGCAACCTCCTCTGATAAGACCTGTCCTCAGAACAACAATGCACTAAGGACCCTCCAGAGAAAAATACAGCACTGGAATAAAAATAAACCACCAAAAAGACATGTTGCATGGAGAGAGATGAAAACAAAACCAGAAACTGAGAAGTTGCAGTAGTAACAGGGATAACATAAAACAAATGCAAATCACCAAGAACACCTAGAAATTTGGAGAGAAAAACTTGTCTGAAGAGAGTATTTTGCTCCACACCACAAAAAAGACACAGTGCTCAAAACAAATTCCTCATGACCCAAAACAACAGAAAATAAATGAATCTATTCCTGGCTGCATCTTCACAATTGTTAAAAAAACGAATGTTAAGAAAAGATTTATAGTCCCACAAAGCCATGAGCTTCAAATTGGGAAAAGGAAGCAAAGGCATTATAGAAGCTTCATCAATACAGTTACAAGACTCAAGTGATGGACTGAGAATCATTTCCAAAAAGCACATCTGAACAGAGGGAGATCACACGATGGTACAGAAACACATCATTTAACAAACAACAGCAACAAAAAAAAAAACACAAGAAGGAATCAAATAAAAACAAAGATGACAAATGTACAATAAGTCAAGGCCCACAACCACTACTACAGCCCAACAAAAAGAAAAGGGACTTGAGNCAG